CTTTGTGAAAGGGTTGTCATCAATTACCAAAAAGGGGAAGATTGAAAGCTCTAGTTTGGTTTTGGTGAATTGATGAAACCCTAAGTGCTAACCTAGTTTATCAAAGTGATTATGAGATAGGTAGCACTACTCCAAGTAGTGAAGCAAATGAAGATCATGACATGATAATGGTGATGCCATGGTGATGATCAAGTGCTTGGATTTGGAAAAGAAGAGTGAGAAAAACAAAAAGCTCAAGGCAAAGGTGAAATTGATAGGAGCCTTTTGGTTTAAGTGATCGAGACACTTAGACAGTGTGATCACATTTAGGATCAATAGCCGTACTATTAAGAGGGGTGAAACTCGTATCAAAATACGGTTATCAAAGTGCCACTCGATACTCTAACTCATCGCATATGCATTTAGGATCTAGTGAAAAGCTAACACCCTTGAAAATGTTTGTGAAAATATGCTAACACACGTGCACAAGGTGAGACACTTGGTGGTTAGCACATTTGAGCAAGGGTGAAGAAGTTGGTGAAATGAAGGAAGTGATAGTCACTGAGATACAATGACCGGACGCTGGTCACGTAGTGACCAGACGCTAGGGTCCTGCGTCCGGTCAGTGGCGCGTAGTGAAGGCTGCCCTTAGTATCTTGACCGGATGCAGGTGACCGAACTCTGGCTGAACACTGTTCAGCGTCTGGTCATGCTGCTGTGGCGGCGCACAGAGAAGAGGGAGAGTGATCGGACGCTGGGTGAGTCCGATCGGGCATGACCGGACGTGTCCGGTCACGAGTGGAACCTTACTAGAAACGACCGGACGCCAGTGTTGGTGCGTCTGGTCACTTCAAGCAGCGTGTCCGGTCATGACTTAACTGTACTGATGACCATTGAAATCGGGCGATCAGCATTTGATGCAGGGGCCACGTGGTGTACATCGCGCGACCGAATGCTGGGGTCCTGCGTCCGATCGATCTGATCGGCGTGTCCGGTCGCCCCGAATTTTCAGTGAACAGAGAGCCAATGACTCTATTCGTGGGGGCTCTCTATTTAAGCCCTATGGCTAGTTGAAGCTCACTCTCTTGGCCATTTGCATTGACATAGCAACCTTGTGAGCTTAGCCAAAGACCTCCCACTCATCTCCATCATTGATTCATCATCTTTGTGAGATTGGGAGAGAATCCAAGTGCATTGCTTGAGTGATTGCATCTAGAGGCACTTGGTGTTTGTGTTTCGCTGCTGGATTCGCTTGTTGCTCTTGGTGGTTGCCACCACCTAGACGGCTTGGTGCAGCCGAGGAGGAGTGGCATGAGGTGGTGATTGTTCGTGGCCATCTCCCGGTGATTGTGAGGGGACTTGTGCCTTCTCTGGTGGAGCGCCAAAAGGTAACCCTAGTGGATTGCTATAACACCCTCGGTGTTACGCTATACAACTTTTTGCTAAAACACTACATGAGCATCATACTTGTGTGTAAATGTGTGTAATATAGGGTATAAAGCAATATACGGAACTTGAAATGTTCAATTGAAACACGAAACGCATGTTACATTTCTATATGACACGAAAGTGAAGAGTGCATCTAAGTGACGTAATTATGATCGTCTCTCAAAGTCTCATCACTAGCAACACTGCCTGAATGGTATTGCTCAAGTAATAACAAGTCCTTCGCGTTGTGAACCTCCTCTCCATCATCCCCGTCAACAATGACCGTATCATTGTCTACTTCCATTGCAAGATCTACATCTAAGACAATCTCAAAACTCCCTTCTAATCCTTCTTCTTGAAAGAACTCTCCGTCATATGTGTTTGCATCGATGTTATAATCATCATCATTTGGGATGGGTACTTTACCATGCGGCGATACCTTGTACACAACATCATACGCCTTAAGACGGTCTTTGGTTTGGCACGGGTATGAGAGATAATAAACTTGCGTGGCCTGTTGGGCCATAATGTACACGTCGTCTCCTAGCAAGACGAATGACTTTAGAACTTCGACTAACCCAAGCTCAGGGATCTTTATCACTTCTTTGGGATCAAACCAATGGTATTTGAATATGACAGGACGAAGAGGTACACAACCAGGAAACTTGAGTTTGTATATTTCTTCAATTATTCCATAGTAGTCCAACCCATCTGTGCCTGGCGTGAAAACACCGGTATTTGTGGTTCTTCGATTGGCCGACTCTACGTGTGTAGAAGTTGTGTGAAAGCGATATCCATTGACATCGTATACGAGAGAATGACTTGACCCTAAATTCAAATCCATTGGCAACTTGCCTCAACTCGGCACTCATAGACGTCGCTTTTGGCTGCTAGTTCAAGTAGGATGATTCGTTATATATTTGTCGAGTTGAGAGTTAAGTACAAACAACAAATGAAATTGAACAGTACCTCCTCCTTGAACCAACAAATAAAAGTGGGATTTCGTTCTCCCCGCCATGTCTTAGAAGGGTTTCAACTTCCGCCCGGTGGGGTTCCTCCGTGATGGATGATGGTAGAGGAGAACAAATTTCTTTCAGAACGGCCGTTAACAAGAGGGTTGGATGGGTGCATGCGAAATATTGACAAGAAAAGAAAAAGTTTGTGTAAAACTTACATGAATGTATGGGCCAACCTCTTCAAGGTTCCGCAACACATACAATTTGGATAGAGCGCCACTCTTCTAGGCTCAACATCTTCAAGGTAGGTTCACTTGCACTTCCGAGTTGCCCTCGGAAAAAATGAGGGTTGACTGATTGTCGCATGACATTGTAACGAGGGGTGGATTATGCACGTTAGGAAGGTTGTCGGCATAGTATCTTGTTGTGAAGTATGACACCTCCTCCACAATGGATGCCTCTGCACAGGAAGCTTCAATTTTGCATTTATTTTTGCATTTTGTTCTAAGAACCTTTAGGCATCGCTCAATTGGATAGCACCAACGGGCATGCACAGGGCCCCCCATTTTTGCCTCATATGGTAGGTGCAAGAGCAAATGTTGCATCGGATTGAAGAAGCCGGGGGGAAAGATCTTCTCCAACTTGTAGAGGGAGGAATTGTCGATGTTTGTCAAACGAAGAAAACTTGCCCCCCTTCTCCAACCGAAAGAACTCCACAGCTGACTTGCATATCGGGCATGGCATCTTCGTGTGAACACACCAGCCACAAAATAACCCATAAGCCAGGAAGTCATGCATGGAATAATGGTACCAAATATGCATTCTGAAGTTTGTCTTTGTGAATCGGTCGTATGTCACTACCCCTTCGTCCCATGCATGGACCAAATCGTCTATCAAAGGCTCCATGTACACACTCATATTAGCCCCCGGGTGTCCTGGAATTATAAGTGACAAGAAAATATTTTGCCGTTGAAAGGCGACGCCAGGTGGGAGGTTGAGAGGGATGACGAATACGGGCCAACATGTGTATGGTGAAGAACCCATTTCATAAGGATTGAACCCATCAATTGCCAGTGCAATGCGTACATTACGAGCCTCATCAGCTTTGTCGGTATGCTTCCGATCGAAGCTTTTCCATGATTCACCATCGGACGGATGTATCATCTTGTCAGTGTATCGGCGTCCAGTTTTGTGCCACGTCATCTGTTTTGCGGATTCCTCGCTCATGAAAAGCCGTTGGATCCTCGGTATGAAAGGAAGGTACCTCAGGATCTTTGCGCCGACTTTTGTTTGCGTCTTCCGACCATCACCAGATTCTAACTCAATGTACCTAGATGCCTTACACTTCAAGCAGACTTATCGTCCGCATGTTCTCCCCTGAATAAGATGCATCCGTTCGGACAAGCATGTATCTGCTCGTACGACATCTTGAGTGCACGAAGGATTTTATTTGACTCATACGTGTTCTTTGGCAGAACGTGATCATCCGGAAGTAGGGTGCCAACTACTGTCAACAGTTGATCGAAGGATTCTCTACTCTAGCTAAACTGGGACTTCATAGCCATTAGACGTGCAATGGCATCCAGTTTAGAAACATTGGTGCGCCCGTGAAGGGGTTGTTGTGCCGCATCCAACATGGCGTAAAACGCCTTTGCAGTTTGCTCTGGCTCCTGCTCTGCACTTCCTTCATCGAAAGCCATGTCATGGTCATTTAACATTTCTGCCACCCCGGCTTTAGAATCAAACTCCTCGATCCGTTGTCGCACGACCTCTTCTCTCGCACGGTGGCGTTCACCATGCATGGTCCACCGGGTATAGTTCTCTACAAATCCATTGTTGACAAGATCTTTAGTCATCTCCTCATATGTTTTCATTGCCTTGTTCTTACACTTCCTATAGGGACACCAGGCATGTCGCCGTCCGTTTGCAAATGCCTTCGTCATGAAATCATTGGCCTTCTCAATCCATTCATTTGTGTATTGACCCTCTTCTGATAGCCCGTGTACATCCACTGACGGTCATCCATCCTAACATATAGACGATATTGCAGTTTAGAGCAATAGAGTAGTAGTGCTAGAGAAAAACCATATGAGATGATAAAGAGACATTCATGTTCTTGGTCGATTCACATAGAAGATGTTTGCTAGATTGGATGATGAGATTTTACCTAAGGTTGAAAGGCCGCTATGTCACTTGTAGATGGAGGAATACATGGAACCAATTTTTTTGTAGCCACAAACATCACTAGCAAGATTTATCGAAGATTGAGGTAGAGCATCAGCAGGTTTTGTAGCATGTCTCAACCACAAACAAATCACCGATGACAAGCCTTAGTTACTAATGAATAGATTGTTCAAAGATTTTGGACAACAAAAGTGATATATTTAGCAAGTGGAATACATGTTGATGGGATAGGTACATACTTGTTGATAGCATGAGAAACTTGGACCGGATCATGTGGAAAAAAATTAACAAAAGATTGGATAATTTCCATATATTTTGGACAGAAAGACAACCAATATATAAACATGTATGCTTATCAAAATTATTATCGGTGTCGCAGCACTAAAGGGTAAAAACTGCCGCTTCTCCTTCGAGGAGATCGATCAGAAGACAGTCAGTAGCAGCAGCAGCTAGCTAGCTTCTTCTGACCGAATCACTGATCAGCGTAAAGCATTCAGTATGCACTGTTAATGTTATAGCATAATTAAATGCATGTACTCCTAGTACTCTATATACCCTTGAATGCCGCCTCGGCCTTCATGTTCTTCCTGGTGCAGTCGGCGCATTTGGCGAGGCCGATGACCACTGAGGAGGCCTCGCTGGAGGCAGCGCTTGCGACGGCGATTACCATCAGCACGGCGCAGACGCCGGGGAGAAGGCCCCCAAGTGCCGCAGCCATGTTTGGAGGATGGATAGATGGATGACTCGATGAGATGGAGAAAGGCAATGGAATGCTTGCCTTATATAGCCCTATGCATTGATCAAACACAGCTCGATCTTACATGCATGCACGCATGATCATGAGGTGAGGCGCGCCAGCACACACATAATTTTGGCGCTGAAATTGCAGACCGGCCGGGAATTAATGCCGTCCATTTGAGTTGATCAATCACTTCATCAGGTTCAGCAGACCGCTGTGCTATTCTTGCAAAGCTGGCTGTGCCCGGCCGGGGATCATCGACACACACAAACATACTACTACTAACCAGCTGCAGCAGGCCGGTCCTGTGCCATGCATGCCTCCACATTCTCCACTCTCCCCACTCTGATAAAAGATGGCAGCGGCCGGCTAGCCCAGGCACTGCAGAGAGAGATGAATAATGCAGGATATGCTAAAGTGGTAGAGAGAGAGAGAGGACTGCTTTAGGGGGCCCACCCATGGCTGCTGCACCCTGCAATGGGGCAACGGGCAACACTGATCGAAGAGAAAATAAGAACTCACTTTGTTTATTTCCTTATTAACTTCATCTCTCTCTCTCTCTCTAATTTGCTGCTTTCTCTCTCCTCTTGCAAACATGCATGATCTCTCCACATTTGAGTTGACACAAACACACATACACCAGGAGCTGAGGATTTGAGAGGTAAAAGCAAGGAAGTGTGTTGGAACCGAACTCCGGCGAGGAGCTCGGCACGTCGCGGCACCGGCCGGTGGTGACCGCGGAGAGCTGAACCCTGAACGGCGAGAGCTTGCGAGTGAGAAAGAGACAACACACGATAGTTACACTGCGAATGGCGCAGCGCGCATGATGCATTCCATTGAGCCTTTGAAGGCCTTGATCCGCATCCCCGCCACTCTGGCGCTGCACGGTGCGCCGTGATTTCGGTCGCCCGCGGCGACATGCACGGCGTGCTAGTCATGGCGGGAGGTGCCTATGAACGCTGAGTCCGACGTGTGCGTGTGCAATCACCGTGCACACAAGATTCTACGTGAATACAAATTGTTCACAACTGAATTGAACTATTACATGCATCTAAAAATAGTAAGGATAACTTGTCACGATTAGGAGCTTCACTTCAACAATTCACCCCTTAATCGTGACACACATTCCCAACTCCCATTGCCGACGCATCTCCACAAACTTGATTCGCCCAAGAGGTTTTGTCGGGATATCAGCCAAGCTGTCGGTCAAGACTCACATGATCAACTTCAGCAATTCCATCACCCACACACTCCACGATAAAGTGATAGCGAGTGTCTATGTGTTTGCTCCTCTCATGATACACAGGATTTTTACTCAGCTCAATAGCTGATTTATCATCCATTAGAAGCCTGAACTTTTGCGTCTCTCTCACCAAGAAGATCTCGCAAGGAGTCCGACAAGCCACACACCTTGACATGTCTGCAGATGTCTGCAGCAATATATTCTGCCTCACAACTTGACAATGACACCACCCTTTGCTTCCGAGAGGTCCAGGTCACTACATTGCCATTGAGGAAGAACACAACACCTGATGTGCTTTTTCTTTTCTCCAAGTCACCAGCATGGTCACTATCTGAGTAGCCCAACAATTTCAGATTTGCAAATGATCTACAAGTGTACTTGCACCCATATTCAGATGGTACCCGACAATGTACCTCACAATTCTTTTCAATGCAGCCCAATGTTCAGAGCTAGGAGCTTCCATAAACCTGCTTGACCATGCCAACAGAGAAGGCAATGTCAGGTCTTGTATTGACAAGATACCTCAAGCTTCCTACTATGCTTCGAACTTGGTCACTTCTTTGGCCAAGTTTGGTTTCTGAGCAACAGATTTCATTGTTTTGCTCCATTGGTGTATCAACAGAGAGTTCTGACCAGTCATCCCACATTGATCAATAATTTTTTGCTGCATATGCTCTCTCATGACAGATGGTGATCTCACCAAAGTTTCTGTTTCACTTCCATACCCAAGTAATAGCTTAGTAAGCCCAAATCACTCATCTGAAAGTTTTGCTCATTTGTTGCTTGAGCTCTTTGAATGTTCTTTCTTGTCAGTCCACAAATGACAAGATCATCCACATACACTCCCAAGAGCAACAGAGAATTACCACTGCCTCTTTTGTAGACTGCATGTTCTTCAACACTTCTGTAGAATCCTAGCTTCACTAGCTCCCTGTCCAACTTGGCATTCCGTGCTCTAGGTGCCATTTTGGACCATCTGATTGCCTTGGACAGCTTCAATACTTTGCCTTGGTGTTTGGAGCTTTGGAAACCTGGTGGTTGTTGTATATACTTCCTCTCCTGTAGCTCACCATTAAGAAATGCCGATTTCACATCCATGTGATGCACTTCCCATTTACCATTTGCAGCAAGTGCCAACATGAGCCTTACTGTTTCAAGCACCCGCCAGGAGCAAAAACTTCCTCATAATCCACCCCAAACTTCCGAGCATAACCCTTTGCAACAAGCCTTGCTTTGTATTTGACAATGTTGCTCTTTGGATCCTTCTTCACTTTGTAAACCCACTTCAAACCTATAGCTTTATGACCCTTTGGTAAATCTGATAGCACCAAGTGTTATTTTCTTGTATTGACTTCAGCTCTTTGTTCATTGCTTCTAGCTTGACATTCTTCTTCCAATTGCCTCTTCTACTCCAGATGGTTCATCTGCAGCCAAAGAACAAACACACACCACCTGTACTCATAATCTTGCATCTCTTGGTGGAGTCTAGTAAGTCATTCAATTGTTCGAATCTCGGTGGCCCTCAAATGTTTCTTCCGAATGTTGACTAGGTGGTGTGGCCCACATGCCACCTGCTCCATGGTTTGACCCAGAGTGTTACGAGGGTTGGGAGATGCTTCATCATGTTCATCTCGCACCCCTTGATCGCTAATTGCTCACCCTCGACACTGCTGACTGATTGTCGCATTTCGGCCTATTGTCGGATTTTGGTCGGTCGGTTCATACTCAACAACAAAGGTGTATGTCACTTGTTGATCTGTGTTGCTCATCCAATTGTCCCATTTCCAAGGCATTTTTCATCAAAATAACATCCCTACTTACCACCAATCTGTTGGTAGAGGGATCAAACGACCCTAAAGCCCTTTGTGCTCGATTCATAGCCAATGAAAACCATTCTCTTGGATCCATCTGACAATTTTCCAATGCCAGGACCAACTTGCTTTACATGTGCCACACAACCGAAAATTTTCAAGTGACTCACTTTGGGCTTCACACCATGCCAAGCTTCAAAAGGAGTTATGTTCTTTGAGAGCTTTTGTGGGTGATCTGTTTAACAAATAAGCTGCAGTCCTCATCGCTTCTCCCCAGTAAAAACCGATGGGACTTTCATTGCCTTAAGCACACTGGCCATCTCAACAATGATGATTCCTCCTCTCAACTACTCCATTTTCTTTGAGGAGTATATGGAGTGGTAGTGTAATGCTTTATTCCTCCTTCACTACAAAAGGAGGAGAACAGATGGGAATTGAATTCTCCCCCTATACATTCTCATGGCTTTGAGCTTTGCACCAGATGCATTTTCAGCTCTAGCAACAACTTTCTTAAACATCTCTAGAGCACGATCTTTGCTTTTCAAACATCTCAACCCACATATACCTACTATAATCATCAACTACTAGTAGGAAATATGAGGCACCCCTATGCTTTTGGGAGTTATTTGACCACAAAGGTCTGTGTGCACCAGACTCTAAACCCTCTCGTGCTCTCAAACTTGACACTTGAGGGAAAGGTTTTCTATCTTTGTTTTCCTAGCACACACCCATCACAAATTCTTTCTACTCTCTTGGTGATGGCAACCCTTCAACCATGCCCTTGGAACCGAGATCACTCAATGATCTAAAATTGATATGCCCATACCTAGCATGCCAATCCCAAGTCACATCTCTGACCGAGCGAGTAAACAAATTGGTGGAACCAACCCAAACTTAGCCAAAATCACTGTTACCAACTCTAGGAGCAGAAATCAACAGTGTATGCTCTTGATCATAAACACATAGTCTACCGTTCTCTCCCACATACTTGAACCCCTTTTCTTCCAACTGACCCAAACTAACAATATTGCTTTTCAATTCAGGTATGTAATAAACTTCAAGAAGAACTTTATGACCTTTGTTTCGATCTTGCATCACATCGAGCCCATACCTTTGATCTTCACGGTGGAGCCATCTCCAAATTTGATCTGTACCCTAAACACCGTTGTTGAGTCTGTGTCAAGTGACGACAAGTGTGTTCGCATCATATGGTTGCTCGCGCTCGATGTCGAGCACCCAGACACCATTGGGGACATCCACCGGCTTGACCTTCTCCTCCAAAGCAGTGGGCGTCTTTGTGGTGACCCATGTACAACTTGACACGAGGCCAACATCAGTGCGCCCGCCTGATCACCGCCGCCGACGGCGACGTTGGCCTCCGGTGGCTCCTGTTCTTTCTTCTTCTCCTTCTTGGGCCTCTTGCAGTCTTGCTCCCAGTGGCCATAGATGCCACTGATTCTGGCACCGCCTTTTTGCGTGGTGGCGTGCCTCGGAGGTCGATTTGACCGGCCCGAGGCGCCGCCATCGATCGCGCCGCCGCCTTTGTACTTCGGGGCGCCGCCGGGCCGCTCCCCGGCTTGGACCCCGAGGCGAAGCGATGCTTGTGCTTCTCGATCCAATCTTCTTCCGCCATCATCAACCTGCCCATCTTATCAGTGATGGCCTCGGTCTTGTCGTCGAACCGCTCCTCTGCGGCCCGCAGCCTCCCGATCAACTCCTCAACCGTCAAGGTCTTGAGGTCGACGAACAACTCAAGAGAAACAACCACTGCTTTGGAAGCGAGGTGGCACCACGCGCAAGAATTTCTTCACTACGCGCACATCTTCGATGTTCTCACCAAGAGTTTTGAGGTTGCCGACGAGGTTGGTGATGCGCATGCCGAAGTCGTCGATCGATTCGCCATCTTTGAAGGCGATGTTCTCAAA